TCTTCCGTTATAAGAAAGGCTTCTCTTTTAAAATTCAGTGCGGGGTTGTGGAACAGCGAGCTTGTTTGTATTCATGCATTTTCTGTTAGGTTATAAGCGATTAAGTCGCATGCAGCGACGAACAAAACGCGAAGCCGTCAGATATTCTAGAACCGTGTTATTTACAGTGCTGTGCATTATTATTGCTTAACTAGCTAACTACGCGCTGATGGAAATAAATTTCGCCCCTTTAAATTTCGAAACAATTCACTGGTACTGTATAGTCATAATTGGAACGGAAAGTTAGCACGCGAGCAGGGCGATTCTGCTGTAGTTTCTGCAATGTAGAAGATATTACGGCAATGAGGCTCCCGAGGTCCGTTCCCGAAATCACAACTACATGTAGTATGAAATGAATTCTGCGTGCAGACGTCTCCTTTTCCAGGTTAGGTTAAATAAACCAACGGTTTGTTTGACAAAGCTCCCGCGAGACGGTTTTTTGGTGATTTTATTAATTTTTCCGATCCATTTTTTGTTTCATCTCTATTTTCGCGGCTTTTGCGATACAAACTAAATTCATTTTTAGTTGTGGGGGCATTACACTGCTTAATCATGACGGCTTTGGAGGAAACTGAATATATTGCGCTTCGCGAGTTCGCAAAATTGCTGCGAGAATTAAAATATATTTTCTTCCAGAAAAGCGTTTTCACGCTTCTTTCTCTAGTCAATTATCTCGTTTTCTAAAGGTCCTTGAGAACTGAATAAGACAATATTTTATTACCTACAACCTACAAACCTGATTTATTTTGACCACATCGAAACAATACTGAAAGAAGAAAAGCCTTCTATTTTTGCCGGCTTCGGACTGCCGACGCGATCGTGTCTGGTTTGCTTTCATATGATGACATTTTCCTGACAGAAGGGTGTCGGGAAAAACACCTCGCGCTGATCATACGTGACAAAATCCGCCGCGCCTAAGCTAATGAAGAAAAGTCTCCCGGAAGGCTCCATACAATTCCTTATAACAAAATTATAAGGAATTGTATGGAGCCTTCCGGGATACTTACAGTGCAAGCCCTTTGTGTCTCCTCATGTTAATACGCACGGATAACGGGATTACTAGTTGTGGCCGTATTAAAAGACAACTGATCTCTCGACTTCACCTGTCTTCCGCAGTAGCACCCACGACTTTCATCGGGTTGTGAAACTGTCAATAAAATGCATTCATGGTTAAATTAGGGCTTTGTGATTATAACTGTTTATACCAGTATTGTTTGGGAGACATATCTATTCGCTAAACAAGTAATTTCTCCGGATCCAGCTCCATATAGCGAATGGGCGCGTAATTGGTACTACCAATTACTAAACAGAGGGTTTTTTTGCACGGTGTGTGCTCAAGTTATTCAGAGTTGAGGGCGGGGCTTCCACAGGGGTCCCTTCTTGCGCCACTGTTATTTAATATATTCATTAATGACTTGAATTATGCGGTCCCGGACGTGTCTTTGAGATTATACGCTGATGACACGGCTCTGTATGCGTCAGATGTCTCTCCCATTGCCCTGCAATTTGTTGTGAACCGGGGCCTCAGCCGCCTGTCGGAGTGGTTCCATGCAAACTATTTGTTGATAAACAATGCCAAGACGCAAGCCCTTCCGATCGGTCCCCGCAAGTACGATTTTGACTTAACTTTGAATGGTTCTGGCGTTACTAAACTTCCCTCTATCAGAATCTTGGGTGTAGAACTTGATAGCATGTTAAATTATATAGAGCATATTTCTAGTCAGCTAAAAAAGGCGTATGCGAAGACCGGCGCACTTAGGAGAATTAAGCATTTTGTACCTATGGACGCTATGCTAGCATTATACAAGTCTTTCATTTTACCACATCTAGAATACTGTAGTCCCCCCCTGTTAGGGGTGGGGAAAGTCCAGGCCAATAAAATTGAAGACGCCAATCATTATATAGTAAGGACTCTCAGAGGGCACGGAAAATCATTGTCCTACCAAGAACTCTTGAATATATTTAAGTTGGACACTTTAGAGTGTAGGAAAAAGCATCAATCTCTGATCCTATTTAGATGCATTAGGAATTTAAAAGGAAATGGTGTTAATCTTTGCGTTCCCAAATTTAATCTTAATTTTATGAGGAACTCTTTTACATATATTGGGGAGACACACGCACTTTACAGGTTTAGTCAGTGAGCTCGTGTAAGTCTTTAGAATTGTTCGCGCTCGCAATCGACTCTTATCTCTGGCTTCACTTCAGTGTTCTTACCTGAAATTTTATTGTTAGTGGCATCATAATGGCCAGCACCGTAATAGTGGTACGCTATATAAATGGGTTGGATGGTCAAAAGTTCATCAAGCGTGAAAGGAACAAGGGGAACGGACCAGCTACACGTTATCACAATCACTGGCACCTTGATTATAGAAGAACAGACTTTTATCACTAAATCACCAATGTCCCTATCGAAAACTCCACGCACGTGAAACCCCTCTGCTCTTCTTGATTTCTCCTCTGCAGAGCCTTCTAAAAAGGGCTTACTGTAGTTTGCGAAACGAAATGGAGCGAAACGAAACGAAATAAAAATCTCTAGTTTGCGAAATGAGAATCTGTAGTTTGCGAAATGAAAATCTGTAGTTTGCAAAATGAGAATCTTTAGTTTGCGAAAGGACGTAGCAACGCCTGAATCTTTTAGAAGTTCATCCACAAACAGTTGCCTCAAAGTGAACCTGTGTCTGTCGTCGTCGATTAGAAGCCCCAAAGAACGCAGATGTGCTGATATTTGTGTTTCATTACATGCCCTTTTAGTGACTTGTCTCACAACACTTCTAAAGGCGCAGTCGCCATCAGGCTGAATCGCATCTATTTCAAGGTTGAACCCTCCCAAGTATCTGTTAAGAGTTTCGGTATGGGAATTTATCGTTGGGTCATCTATTTCACTGTTTTCCTCCACGGTTATAATGCTTGACATGTTAATCAAATGTATAATATCAAGGGCGTTAAAAGACCTGTCACAATTCTTGCTGCCAATGTTATCGATCAATTCCTGTAGGTTACACATAACAGTTAAAATGCTCGCAGCAATAGACTCCTGAAAAAGATCTTCTACATTGTCTGCAATAACCACCAGTGGACTTTCGTGGGTGGGTTGATTAGACTCAGTATAAGATGGTGTTGTGATCATCGACGGGAAGGGACTGGTTAGGACGTAAAAGGACTAGGAAGGAAATAAAAGGACAAGAAAGGACAAAAAAAGGACTAGTAAGGACAGAAAAGGACAAGTAAGGACATAAAAGGACTAGTAAGGACAGAAAAGGACTAG